TGGCAGAAAATTTTTCATGCCCTTTATTTTCAGAGTAATTGCAGTAGAGGAATTTTTTGTTTGTTTATTTTGTTAATCCTCACCCGAGGATATTTTTTTCCATTGATTTTTTTTTTTTAGAGAGTGGAAAGGAGGTGGGGAGACAGAGAGAAACATTGATATGAGAGAGACACATCAATTGATTGCCTCCCACATGCACCCCGAGGTATGTGCCTTTGACCAGAATCAAACCCACAACCCTTCAGTCCGGGAGCTAACACTCTAACACTGAGCAAAACCAGCTGGGAGGTGAATAATTTATTGAGGTTGGGTGTATGATATATTATTTTGGTATTTTATATCTAAAATTTTTCCTTTTAATCTAGAGATTATACAGCTTTTTAAAATTTTTATTTTGCCTTTTTTGAAGAGAGGAAGTTAATTCTAAAAGTAACCTGTTACTGTCAAGAAATTATCACATGAAGGTATCCTAGATTAAGTTGATAAGTCTTTTCTTTAAGGTGGGTTTGAATTTGGTGTTCTTATGTGGATTGGTGCTTCCTATCTAATGTCTTGAAGCACTAATAATACCTAGGTAAAGTTTTATATTATAGACTAGAGATCTCTTTTGTTCCAATTAGCCCTCCTTCCTTTCATATTATTATCGTTAGGTTTTTTGGGGTTTTGCTTTATTTACAGAAGTAATTCAATTTAGACTTGCCACAGAATATAAGCTTTCTCCATTTCCTTCAATTTGTTTCCTTCATATTTATAAACTACTCTAGTTCTGTTGTAATAAATCTATAATTCTCATGAGATTCAACGGTTCCATAGTCTAGTAGTTATGTTTATCTTAAGCATTTTAATATTACTGTTTTTACCTCGCAGGCTTACCTTCAACAAACTCAAGAACTGGTTTTACTTGAAACCATAATGCTACAAACCCTAGGTATGTACTTAGGTCATATATTTTTATGTGTGTTCTTCAATGCAGTACAATAAGTCTTTACTTAATGTCATTAATTGGTATTTTAACTAAGTGAAATAACATATAATAAAACCAGTTTACTATGGGCTAATTGATACAAACAAGAGTTAAGTTCCTATGGTATAACAAATGATGTTGAATGAAATGACATTATTCAAGGGCCTGCTATATATATTCTAAATAAAGGAAAAAATGTCGAGTGATTTTATCTTTGATGAAAGTTTCATTTTAAAATAAAGTTTAGGGCCAGAATATTATTGCCTGGTTATAAGAAAACCATTTTTAAAAATTTCATTTCATTTCACATAAACAACCTTTGGTGAGATTTTAATGTTTTCAGATAATTGGGATCCTATGTTTCGTTCTGGCTTTGCATTGGAGAATGAAATATTCCTCTCAAACTGTTGCACATGATTGTAATGTGTACAAATATACATGGCAGTTTTTGTTCTCCTAGAGCTTATTTATAGTCAGTGTTTAATGAATGTATATCATTTTTAATGTGACATAATAGTTGAATGTTGAACATTCTTTTCTAAAAATTACATTGTCTGCAAAGTTAGTGCAACTTAATTGGCCTCTAAAGATCATTTATTCTGATGTTTCACTTTACCATGAGGAAATTGGGGCTTAAGACAGTTTTAACTTCTGTAAAGTCATGTATTACTCCTAGAAGAACATTGTCTTTACGGAGAGCTGGGTTTAAATCTGTAGGCCTCTGACTTGGGCAAAATTCCCCTCTTTACCTTTTATGCCTCCATTCTCTATATGAGGTGGAATAATAATGCCTACCTTAACATTGTGAAGATGATATATTAAAAAATTGCCACATAGTGTCTGTGTCATAATCATTATTTATTATGGTAGTTATTTTTATTTATTACTCCATTCCCAAATGTTGAATTCAAATTGTAATCACAGCTTCTCATAATAACTGATTATTATTACAAAAGTAGCTTGTTTGAAATGTATATCACTTGTTTAAAGTTTTTATAGTATAAAAAGATACAAAAATAAAAGTGAGAATATTCTCATTCCTTTCAAATTCAGTAATGTGAATGTTATTGTTTTAGTATATAAAGTTAAATAAATGTGAAAATTTAAATATAATGAAAGTTGAAAAAAAATTATATTTTAAAATAAAGATATTTTTTTAAAAATCAGTGTGTTTGCATTATGATAGAGTCTTAAGCATGAAGAATGAATAATAGCATTTTTAAGGGAAACATAAGAATGTATAAGATACCTCTTTGGCTTTCATTAAAGTATGATTTTGCAGGTTTTATTACAGTTTTATTATGGGAATATAAATAGACCATACAGTAACTTTATAAATACAGATTACCTATTTATTAGGATATTATTCACTTACTGCTTCTGAAGGCATTAAACTTAAGGGTTGAGCCCTTCCCTACTTAAAGGTTGATTGGGCATTGAGAGCTTTTCAGCATTTTATCTTTGGTTTTAGAAACAGTGATTTAATGAATCTTGAGGCCTACAGGTGTACTTAACCTTAACAATTTTATTATTAATGAAACATAGTTATAAGCTAACTTGCTGAAACCTTTGATCTAAGGCATACTAAGAAAATAAGAGCACTGTATTATTTAAAAGGTCATTTCTTCCCCTAACCGGTTTGGCTCGGATAGAGCGTCGGCCTGTGGACTGAAGGGTCCCAGGTTCGATTCCGGTCGAGGGCATGTACTGTGGTTGCAGGCACATCCCCAGTGGGGGATGTGCAGGAGGCAGCTGATCGATGTTTCTCTCTCATCGATGTTTCTGACTCTCTGTCCCTCTCCCTTCCTCTCTGTAAAAAAACAATAAAATATATTTTAAAAATAAATAAATAAAAATAAAAGGTCATTTCTTACACTGTAGCCCAAAGGTTATATTTACGAAAAATTTCTTTTCACATCTGAAAGAGTTGGAATACACTTAAGAACCCCAGTAAATTCAATAAAAAGGGGAAGGGGAGAGAAATATACTACATAGTTCAATTCCCTGCTTAACATGTGGGGCAAACTTAATTGTATTTGTCATGATTTCAGTTTATTTTTAACATGAGGATAATCTCAAACTAACTGTAATTCAGAATTTTGAATAAATATTCCTCCCTGATCTACAAATAACTGATAATAAATTTTCATAATTGCAACATTGTTTTTGAGAAGAAATGATTTCTTATCAGAGGTATATAGTGATCATGTCAGTGATAAGAAACATTATCTTTGGGTTTTTTTAATAGTGAAAAATATATTACACATTTATGGTTGTGTGGTGAATGGCATTTCTCAGGCAAGTATTGTAGTGGTAAGTGATTGGGGAAAAAAGTGCTTTTCATTTCAGGTTTTGAGATCACCATTGAGCACCCACACACAGATGTGGTGAAATGTACCCAGTTAGTAAGAGGTAAGTGATCTTTGAAACTTTTTAATTAAATACAATATTTATGATTTTTGTTGTCTATAATTGATTTGAATGCTATTTTGTTCTTACAGCCTTTTCTTGAATTTTATTAAAATAAGGGAAATGTCATTTTGAAGCATTACTTTGTAGTATCTTCCTACTCATCTACTTCTATTTATATACACTTCAGTGAGAGTTTTATTTCACTAAAAATTTGGAGGGCTTTAAATATTCGGGCTCTCTACCTCCCCATTGGGCTATGCCTGTCCTGTATTTCAGTTAATATTTAAGATGAAGGCCATTAACACGTGTACAGTGAGTAGTATTAATTTTTAATTTATGTCAGAAACTTTCATTGACTTCTGAAAAGACTGCAGTATAAGAATTTGGAGATCAACCTCAGATTTTTTTCTATAAAAAATTGTGTTCCTTAGATTTGTCATGTTTGCAAATGTTTTGCCCATGTTCATTTGAACAAAATTGGTTTAATACATTTTTCACAGTTCTTTAGTATTACTAAAAATGGTTTCCTTTTTGTGTATAATAAGGAAATAATTATATAGCATGATATGTAGTGTGTAGTGTGGCTATTATACCTTTTATAAACAGGAATAAGGAAGCTTTTGTACTTTTTGCTTTACTGCTTATAAAGCATGTGGAACACATTTTTCTGCTCTTGTTAATAAATCTTGTGTATCTGTTATATGCCTAGCAAGTTTTCCACTGTTGCATGTTATACTGCTGCTACTACTTCTGCTTCCCATTAGAAATGTTACTAATAGCAACCCCTTAGAATCTTTAGTGTGCCTTTTTCTATTACTTCCTTTTTGAAAATTAAATTTTGCAGTTTCATTCTTTTACCACCAGATTTCTTTAGGATTATTCTAAACAAAATGGGTAAGACTTTTGAAGGCCTTGTTTTGTTTTTTAGTGTTTACCTAAATATCCTCACATTTTATTCATTCTAAATTGAATTCATTTTATACCTAGGTAGGATTTTATATTTTATGACTACATTTTTTTTTTAAACAAAGGCTCTGTTATCTGACACCACAAGAACTGGACCTCTAAAAATGCCATTAGCATGTATTATCATTTGTAAACTTGAACATACTTAATTATAGTTCCTGTTCTTTGTGATTATATGAATATATTTTATAGCACATTCTCATCCCCAGTATTACAGTATAGTATAGATTTGTATAGATAACTAGTGTAGATGTTGAATTAAGAAAAAAAATCTGAGTTAGTAGTTCTATTTTCCTAAAAACTTGAAAGGGTAAACTGTTTTGTCAGACTAATGGAAAGCCATATAATTTGTTTTAAATTGAGTCGGATGAAGAATGATATTGAAGGAAGGTATTAACATAGGTTAAAATAATACTTTAGTAGGAATTGAAACTGGATTTTCAGCTTAGTATTGTGAATTTTTAGTCAGCTTTTTAAAAATCGTTTTTCGAAGTTTATTAATTTTTTGTACTTTCTCCTATATCTAAAAAAGCTAAAGACATAAAAATATTGATTTGCAAAATTGAATAGTAAATTTTAAAACATTTACAAAATTTTATATATCATCCAAAGCAAAATATTAAAATATGATTTTTTTTGTTAATGTTTAAAATGTGGCTGACTCTTAAATTTTAGTACAGATTTTATATATATTTAAACTCCTCTTGTCTGACTAACATTTTGAGTAACAGGGTTTGTATCTCACACCATTTAATAAATTTTCTTTCATGTTTGGTCTCTTTTTTTCTTTGTTCTATTACAATTTCAAGCTAACAAGAGAACATTTCCCCTACATTCTTCCTCTGTTGCACAGTGAGGTTATTGAATTTAGACATATTCTGAGGTGAAAACTGCTACGGCAATTTAAAATTTCTCGTCTACATATTTTGCATCTTTTGTGAAGGGAGTAAATGGTTTGGCTTCTTTCAAGTCCTTTACCTCTCTCCTTTCCCCACAAGAGAAAATTGGTATTATGCTCCTTTGCTGCAGAATTGGCTAATGTCATTTTACAGGGACTTTCACTTTTCTGATTTATCCTTCCTTTCCCATAAGGAAAGAAAGCAATACTTAAGTCACACTGTCTCCAGGACATCTGATGCTTTGACACTCTTAGCACAGCTCTGCTAAACCCAGGTCCCTTTTTAAGATTCACATGGGGCAGCAGGGATTACAGGTGTTGCAGATAAAACTAGGAGGGGGCAAGGATTTTGAGGCCTTTTAGAGAGGGGTGAGTTGAAGGGAACTAATCCTAGTTAAAACAAAGGGGAAAGATTATGTCAGTTTTATGAATGTAATTGGAAGAAAAGGGTGAACTATATGTAGCAGAGACATCCCTGTTGGGAAGAATAAGAAGCAGAAGGGGAGGGCCAGTTTTCCATTTCAGTGTCTTAATTTCCATTCTTGGAGGGGGTGACAGTGTTGAAGCATCATGATTCCCTCTACAGTACTCATATCATAATCTAAAGTTCTATTAATTGGATTCTATAATTTAAAAAAAATAATAATATAGTGGAGTTTCCTATATCTGTCCTTATAATGTTTTAGGTTGTTTATTCTCTGTTGATGCTTAGTAGCATGATGAAAAACTGAGCAGTTGTGCTCTCTGACTTTGGAGGGTGGGGGTTTGTTTTCTTTTATTTTGATGGAAGTGCTAAGCCAATTTAAATATGACTGAGGATTAAGTCTGGCAGGCAACTCTTTGTATTTTGTATTAGACTTCAAAATCTTTTCTTCTTCTTCCTCTTCTTTTTTTTTAAATCCAGGAGAATGCTTTATTGCAACTTTTAGCTGACTAGATGCTTAACTTAGTAACAAGTTTAGCCCTTGTAACTGGCTAGCTAAAAGCAAATCGGCTTGTTTCTCAGATCTTTGGGGGATAGCAAGAAACATTTGAGTGAATGTTGTTGAAGATTTTCAGTAGTATAGAAAATGATGGCGCTCTTGTGATATTTGTAAGTAGTAAGTAAAATTTACTTTTTGTGTACACATCTTTGAAGTTTTTGTTATGTTGAGAACTTTTTAATGGTAGCATGTTAAAGCTGATAGTATTGTCTTCGTTTTTTCTTTTTTTTCCTTACAGCAAGCAAGGATTTGGCACAGACATCCTATTTCATGGCTACCAACAGGTTGTTATCCTGACCCTCTTTGTTGCACTGTTGTAGCACACTATAGCTTCCTTTAATGCAGGGCCCCCTCAATGTGTCTCTTACCCTTGTTGCAACAGGAGACTGGACCATCTACTGTGGTGGTACCTTCCTGTCTGCTTTGCGGTGTATTGTACAAGGGACTTTGGGCACAGAGGGGTTAAATGCACAATGTGAAGTGTAGTGGTGCTTTCTGATGACATATTCTCGATTTGTGAGTGCATAAGTCTAAAATTGGTAGCCTGAATAGCAGCTAAAGATTACACAGAGCTAAACTTAACGTAGAAATTCGAGCAACTTGGTAAGTATAAAGCTATTTCTAGTTTATAATTATAGTTAAATGACAATTTTTAAAATTTCACATTGATCCAATCTTAACTTTAATCATTAAAGTTTTTTAATAAATAAAATTTCTATAACTTGGTTATATAATACCCATTAGTAGTAAATTAGAAGTAGTTGACTCCTATCAGTGCCTTGATGTGCATAAGTACAGCTTTTACTTTTAAAAAACCTTACTTCCTTTTCAGTTTATATAAATAAAAAATGGTGTGGGTTGTGATGGATCAATAAACATTTTGATTAATTCTGAAACTGAAGTGGAAGAATAGTTTTTAAAAGCCTTTTAATATTTAATATAAAATTCTGTTCTGTATTGATTATATTAATTATTTAAATTTGTTTTTTTTTAATGGGTTTTTGGGGAGGAGGGGACCAAACCAGCTTTGTGTGGCCCTTAATTTTTTTGTGACACTGTTAAGTTTTATTTAAAATTTTGGATTAGCAAATATCCATGTATTTCCTCAGATATATGTTGTTGGGCTTTAACCTCTATTCCGAGGAATTCTGAACAACAAAAGCATAAAAAACCACTTAAATTTAAAACTTTGGTTAGAAAAGCCTACTTGTAACATGTTACATGCCCAGTGTAGTGGAAGGAGAAAAAAAGTATTTTTGTAGTTCATAGCAACATTGGGCTTTGAAGCTGTTACGCAAAAGGTAAGTTTTCTCTGTGGCTCTATTGAAAAGAAGACAGAGATTTACATAGATAAGTGTTAAGTTCTCTTTAACTTACTTGAGAATTATGTTTAAGCCACATCAAATGGTAGAATCTCTGATTATAATGCAGTGTTGAAATGTGTCACTTTTACCAGGAGCCCTCTGCTTTTTCATTACTTTTTTGCCATGGTATTACAAAAGAAACAAAAATGCCACCAAAAAAAGTTTAAGGTGTTATACTGGTATATAGTGGTTATTGGAAATAGAAGTGTATTAGGTATATGTCTTCACCTCCATTTATAAAGAAATAAAAACACTTTGAATTTAGATGTAAAAGCAAAATTTAGAAATATTAATATATTAGTATTAATAAAACATTAATATAATACTCAGGCTTAAGAGTATGGGGAATGTTCATAATGTATAGGGTTTTTTTAGTACTAGAATTTTGTAAGTATAGTGTTAGCTTTTAACATAATAAAATAAGGTTTTGTACTCTAGGCTTACAGAAGAAAACCTTTATAATTCTGATTTTGTTCTAATCTTACTGGTAAATGTTTTTTCTTTGTTTTACATATTTGAATTTCTATGACTCTTCATTTTCAAACATGCGCCACAACAGTCTACATCTTACCACCTTCTGTCTTCAGTACAAACCAACAGTGATAGCATGTGTATGCATTCATTTGGCTTGCAAATGGTCTAATTGGGAGATTCCTGTGTCAACTGATGGAAAACATTGGTGGGAATATGTGGATCCTACAGTTACTTTAGAATTATTAGATGGTAAGTAGAGAAAATAATCATTTTTAAATTAAAAATATTTCTTTTTATTATGGAAAAATTCTAATTCTGTATAGGTTTGAAAACCAGTGAATTCCATATGCTCATGCCAAACTGAATAGTTACCAATTCTGCCCAATTCAGCTTCCTTCCTCCCCTGCAGTTTTTAATTTTTAATCCTCATCCAAGGACATGCCTTTATTGATTTTAGAGAGAGGGAAAGGGAGAGGGAGAGAGAAATAGCGATTGGTTGCCTTTTGTATACACCTCCACCGGAGATTGAACCCGAAACCTAGGTATGTGCCCTGACTGAGAATTGAATCAACGATCTTTTGGTGTACAGGACAATGCTCCAACAAACTGAGCCACACCAGCCAGGGCTCCCCTATAATTATTTTAATGCTAATCCCAGATATCATTATTTCATGTATTAATATTTTAGTTTGTATTTCAAAAAATAGACTTTAAAAACATAACTATAATTCTTTTTAACAATTTGGTAATAGATTTTAAAGAATAATTACATGATCAAATGAACACATGATGAAAATAAGGATTCATTAGCCTAAAAAAAATAAAGTGTACATATATTAACCACCACTGAATATCTCAAGCCCTTTGAGGCTTTCTCAAACTCAAAGGTTAGTTTTGTTGAGTTTAAAATGTACAGACTCAAAGTCAGGTATTGCAGAAGATGTGAAGCAATGAACTAATGGTATTTTCTGGGTAACAGTTCTTGCTCTGTAGTTCCACTGATGAAATGTGCCATAGTTGTCTTACATCATTAAATGTGAGTTGACAAGGAAAAATTGGGGGTACAAGTTCTCTAAATTGAATCTGGATTTGAGGGTCTCCTGATAAGAAATTTCTCTGGTTAAGACATAAGAGAAGTTGGCCAGAGGTAGGAGATTCTTGGAGATTAAGACATTTTAGCTATGTATTATAAATTTCAGAAAGGAAATAGATAACATTCTTATTTAATAGATGTGCCTAAACTAGTATGTCAGGTTTTAGCTTACTCTTTTTGTGGGCTTTCCCCAACTTCCTTCACAAAATTTGAAGCTAATGGAAAATAGGATTTATGTCTGTTGCAACTGAGGACATCTAGAAACACAAAAATGCATTTTATCAATACCCTAGAGGCCCGGTGCACGAATTTTGTGCACCGGGGACGGGGTCCCTCAGCCCAGCCTGCACCCTCTTCAATCCGGGACCCCTCAGGGGATGTCCGACTGCCTCTCACAATCTAGGACCACTGGCTCCTAACCACTCACCTGCCTGATTGCCCCTATCCCCTCTGCCTGCCTGCCTGATCGCCCCTAACCACCTCTGCCTGCCTGATAGTCCCTAACTGCTCCCCTGCTGGCCTGACCGCCCCTAATTGCCTCTGCCTCAGCCCCACACCCGGGACCCAGGATTTCCTCCTCTGGCCAGCCACAGACACCCAGGACCCAGGCTTCCCTCCCTCTGGCCGGCCACAGGCACCTGGGACCTGGGCCGGCTTCGCCCAGGCCAGCCGCAGCCATGGGGCAGGCAGCGTTTCTCCCTCTCCCAGGCCGCAGGCACTGGCTCCCAGGACCTCGGGGCGGATGGCTTTTCTCCCTCTCCTGGGCCGCAACTGCAGGCACCAGCGCCTGGGACCGTGGGCAGGCGGCTTCGCCTGGGCCCAGCTTTGTCAGGAAGGACATCTGGATGGTCATCCGGAAGATGTCCAGTCTAATTAGCGTATTACCCTTTTATTAGTATAGATCTTATTGGGGGTACATCATGTTGATACCTCTTATTGCTAGCAATGATAACCATCATCACTTGGTTAAGATGGTATTTACTTTGTTTCTCCATTGTAAAGTTACTGTTTTTCTCTTTGCAATTAATATCTTGAAGAAGATATGTTGGGATTATACAAATATCCTTTTTTTCCTCAAACTTTTGCCCACTAATTTTAAATCTATTGATGGATCTTGCCTGCATCAAATATTATTATTGTTTTTGCTTAGTGGAGGCTTATTGTTTTTCCTCAAACTTTTGCCCACTAATTTTAAATCTATTGATGGATCTTGCCTGCATCAAATATTATTATTGTTTTTGCTTAGTGGAGGCTTATTGTTTTTGCTTAGTGGAGGCTTATAAAGTAGAGAATATTTTTTTAATGCTACTAAACTTTCCAGAGATTGTGAGCAAGCATATAAAATTGGGGTGGGAGAGTGATTTTCTTTAAAAATACTAGTTTAGAACTATGTCTGCTGTAAATGCTGAAGGTTGAATAGGAGGGTGATAGTGAAGTAGATGAACTCTTGAGAACTTTTTTAATATTGCTCACTTGAGAGAAATTTAAATCATAAAGGCACATTCTAAGTTATAAATTTAAATTTTATTTTTAGAGTTAACACATGAATTTCTACAGATACTGGAGAAAACGCCTAGTAGGTTGAAGAAGATTCGAAACTGGAGGGTAAGAGAATTAGCAGGGTTTAAAAGATTATCAGTTTGTCATTTATCTAACAATTACAAAGCTAACCAGTTTGAATATTGGGGGTTAAATATTCTTATTTCCAGTATTCCTGAATAATTATAATGTATCAGAAGCTATATACACATATATTGTATTCAACTACTATGTCCAATGGACTTTGCCGAGTATTTTATAAATTTTTTATAAACCCCACAATGATGGAAATATTCTCATTTTACAAATGGGGAAGTTAAAGCCTAGACAAGTTAAGTTACTTTCTCAAATGGTGGCTAGGTTGTGTATCAAATTCCAAAATTTGTGCTTTCAACATTTTATAGCCTTGTTTTATGCTTATAAATAGAGAATTTTTGTAAGCAAAGAATTGTGTATTAAATTCCTTTGTTGTCATTGCTTCTTTTGTGTTTTATTTAAATAGGCTGATCAGGCGGCTAAGAAACCAAAAGTAGATAGACAAGTATCGGAAACACCGCTTCTTGGTTCATCTTTGGTCCAAAATTCCATTTTAGTAGATAGTGTTGCTGGTGTGCCTGCAAACCCAAGTTTTCAGAAACCATCTACATCAGCATTCCCTGCACCAGTACCTCTGAATTCAGGAAATATTTCTGTTCAAGACAGCCATACGTCTGATAATTTGTCAGTGCTAGCAACAGGAATGCCAGGTACCTCATACAGTTTGTCGTCACACCAAGAATGGCCTCAACATCAAGAATCAGCAAGGACCGAGCAGATATATTCACAGAAACAGGAGACATCTCTGTCTGGTAGCCAGTACAACATCAACTTCCAGCAGGGACCTTCTCTCTCCCTGCATTCAGGATTGCATCACAGACCTGACAAAATTTCTGATCATTCTTCTATTAAGCAAGAATATACTCATAAAGCAGGGAGCAGTAAGCACCATGGGCCAATATCTGCTACTCCAGGAGTTATTCCTCAGAAGATGTCTTTAGATAAATACAGAGAAAAACGTAAGCTAGAAACCCTTGATCTGGATGTCAGGGATCATTATATAGCTGCCCAGGCAGAACAGCAACACAAACACGTGCAGTCGCAGGCAACCAGCAGCAGCTCTGTAACTTCTCCCATTAAAATGAAAATTCCCATCACAAATGCAGAAAAACCTGAAAAATATATGGCAGATAAGAAGGAAAAAAGTGGATCGCTAAAATTACGGATCCCATTACCACCCACTGATAAAAGTGCCAGTAAAGAAGAACTGAAAATGAAGATAAAAGTTTCTTCAGAAAGGCACAGCTCTTCTGATGAAGGCAGTGGGAAGAGCAAGCATTCCAGCCCACATATTAGCAGAGACCATAAAGATAAGCACAAGGAACATCCCTCCAATCGCCACCACCCCAGCAGTCACAAGCATTCCCACTCACACAGTGGCAGCAGCAGTGGTGGCAGTAAACACAGTGCTGATGGAATACCACCCACTGTTCTGAGGAGTCCTGTTGGCCTGAGCAGTGATGGCATTTCCTCTAGTTCCAGCTCTTCAAGGAAGAAGCTGCATGTCAATGATGCATCTCACAACCATCACGCCAAAATGAGCAAAAGTTCCAAAAGTTCAGGTAGTTCATCTAGTTCTTCCTCCTCTGTTAAGCAGTATATATCCTCTCACAACTCTGTTTTTAACCATCCCTTACCCCCTCCTCCCCCTGTCACATACCAGGTGGGCTACGGACATCTCAGCACCCTCGTGAAACTGGACAAGAAGCCAGTGGAGACCAACGGTCCTGATGTCCATCACGAGTACAGTACAAACAGCCAGCATATGGACTACAAAGACACATACGACATGCTGGACTCGCTGTTAAGTGCCCAAGGAATGAACATGTAATTGTTTAGGTCAATTTTTCCTTTCCTTTTTTAATTTAAAAATTGTTAGAATGGAATCCTCCTGATCTAGCAGTGGTAACACCTGCCGTTGCTGCCACTGTTTCAATATTTGTAAGTGCTGCTTTATTCTTCATTCTGAAAAGAAGAGATTATAGTAAACAAGTCTTTATCTCCACATATGATAGTGTTATAAATACTGTAAAAGCATGGAAGGTGCAAAGCTCAGTTTTTCTACAATTGCAGCTGAGAACATTAGGATGAATGGCTGGCTGCTTCTAGGAATATAAGATGCCTCAAGCATTTGTTATTTATAATTTGAATACTGTAGCTATATTATTTTTGTTGTTGCTTGACTTTTGAATGAGTGTAAATTGTTTTCTTTTGTGTATTTATACTTGTATGTATGATTTGCATGTTTCAATGTTAAAGGGATAAAACAGTATACTGAAAACAGTTTACAGGAAAGTGGAGAAAAATGTACATACATTTTTGTATGTTTAGATATTACCATAAATACTCAGGATTGGAGCTGCTTGTAAGTATAACAATATACAGAATAACTTTATTTTATCTTGTCAGAGTCCATCACTAATCTAAAACAAAGGTGGCACTTTTCATGTTAACCTTAAACTCTAGGCCTTACTGGAAGCCTCTGAAGGGGGACGCTTCAATACCAGATGGGTATGCAGTGCCACAGATGGTCACTTACACTGTGAGGCACTGACCTGCCTTCAGAGGTTCTGACCAGATTGGCTGCTGAAATAGCCCCTAGTTTTCTAAAGGCTTGAAGAGGAAAAAATTAAGTTTACATACTCTTGATGTGAAGTGCAGTTAAATGTTTGTTGGTTTGTTGCAGTACTATAACACAGAGTTGTTAATAATGGTTATGTAGATTACTGTGATTTGAAAACTAAATTCACAAAAAGTACATAGTGAAAAATTAAGTTTTTTCCTTAAAGAAAAAACGTCAACACTACATAGTTAAACAGTAAATAGGGATCGCATTTCCTTCAGCATTCGGAATGACAGTGTATTCTCAAACATACTCCTCCCCTCAAGCTTGTTTGTGTGTGATGCCACATTTCTTTTTCAGGTAAATTCAGTCTTCCTTTAAAAATAAAATTAAAACTATTACTCTCTCAGTTCTTTTATATTCTAACAATAAATAAAAAGAAAAGATCACTGTGCATTGTACCTGTATTTATAGCTTATCAGGAACCTCTGAGGAAAAAAAGGTAGACAGCTAGTGGAGGTTTTACATTTGTTTGCACGTCTCAGTATAGTCCTGTTGAGGTCATATTGGCACAGTCATCTGACTTTGAATAAACAATAGACATTAATTTGTTTAAAATTTGTTTTAAACAGCAGTAATATGGCCTGGTTTATCGGTGAGTCTTCTATTTATTCTGTGGTAAATCTTTGAGCTGTTGAGTATCTTTGAGATGGGTTGAATTCAGCTTCTGTTGAACTGAAAGCTGTCTTCATTTTTCCTCTATGTATATGATTTATTTTTGTTTTAAAAAGCCACTGATATGTGCACAATTGTAATTTTATTCAAGTATGTTGCAGTTGTAAATATTAGAGTTTAATCTTGTGCTCTACTTTTATTTAGCAATTACCTAATTTGCCAATAGCTTTATAATTTTTTAAAAGATAATTGTTTGTTATTTTGTTAATGTTATTTGAATTTAGTATAGTAGGAGCTACTTTCTAGGGACTTTCCCTAGCTAGCATGTCCTAACATTTGTTCGTCTTGCATAACTTTAGTAATCTTTGTCATTATGTGTAACTTTGTTGTTTTGTATGGCATATTATTGTTATCCACAAACATAATTTTGATGCAGTTATACTTTGACAGTGGTACATAATCCAAGGACTAGTATATAGAATTAAGCTGAGTACAGAATGAGGGAGGGAAGGGTTTTGTTCTTGGTAATTTAGATGTGAAACCTCTAAGGAGCTATCATGTGAAACTACATAGTGTGGTTATGCTACTGTATACTTAGGGATGATAATACCAGGAATTTTAATAAGATTTTGTAAAGAATATCCAGAAAATTAGTGAACATATTTTCAGTATGACATAGAAAACAATGTGAATATTTAAGGTCTGTGACTATACTTAAACTTCACAAAGAATTTGCAGAATTGTTTTGAGATGTGGGAATAAAAGTAATTTTGTTGAATCTTTATTGGTGCTAATGATGGACAGTTAAAAAGTTAGCTAGTGTATATTGTTATGGGTCAGTACTTATTAGTACTTCCCAAATTGAATTTAAAATGCTATGTATTCTCTTTTCACTCTGTAAATGTAAATCTTTACAATGACTTTATTTATTAAAGGGCAGCCAGTTGTAATTTTTACAGGATTGTGTGAGCTGTTCAAAATCTTTAACTTCTGAACGGGACATGAGCTTCCAAAACCACGAAGGGGATAAATATGGAAATCCTTTTAAGTTTCAATTCCATTCAGTGAAAATTCACATAATTCATATTACCATGAATTTGCTTTAGCTGTCTCATCAGCCTGGTCCCAGTAGGCTCAACCAAAGAAAAAGACTCCAGAGAATGGACATTATTTCTGAGTCTTCTTGTAAGTAGCCATAAATGAACCAAAATAGTATCACCAAATTTAGGTATGAAATTCCACATGTGCAAAGTACTGTTAAGGTGAAACATTTTTGATGAGATTTTTAAAACTATTTGAAATATTAAAAAGCATTATCTTTTAACAGCGTATAACAGAGTGATTCATTTTTTAGTTGTGTTCTCCCCAGGTCATAGGTTGTTAGCTTTATGCAGAAGCACACTGCATACAAAGGCTTTACTTCTACCTCTTTCAACCAACTTTCCAACAGTGAGCTGTGCCCCCTAATATTTGCCTTAGCTACTTTAAAACACAGTATTTTAGAACCAAAACAAAGGAATATCTTTTCACAGAAATTTTCCTGGAGGCCTACTTTACAAAACTGGCAGTAGTCTTTATTGGTAAGACCTTGCAAAAATCCTAGTTATTTTTTCTTGTTTAAATCTGAGGTTCCTTTCTTATTGCAGGTTTTTAGATACTGAAAAGTCATATAAATCATCCCTAATTTTTATCTTTGAGTGTATTTATAGATGCATCTGGCTCTTCCTATGAGCCTGCTATTCATTCTGATTAGAGTTCATAAGAGTCCAAGAAAATTTCTACCGTGATACCTGATTTCATACAGAATTTCATGAGGGGTGTTTACATTACTTTGTATTCTTAGAAATCTTCAAAACTGAAAGGTTTTCTGAAAAAAAGGGCTAGCCAGAGTAAGGGTCGGGTCCTGGGGCATACAGTCTAAGCCACCATCCTGGGGTGGGTGGGGCTCTTTCATACAATGAGTTTGGGGAAGAAAAGTGTAAGAGGTTATGAAAGAATTCACATTGGCTCTAGATAAAAGGGGCTGGAAAAGGTGAAACGGGGACCATTCTAGGATAGGCTGTAAAGGAAAGGTATTTGATGCTTTTGTATTGGTTGTGGGCAACAGTTTGGAATATTCATGTGTAAACTGGATGAGGCATCACTGATGACGGCTGTTCTCTAGATCATAGGAACCTGGAAGTTAATTCCCAGTTTCAACATACGTTCAGGAATATGAACAGTCTTGTTGGTTTCATTCCTGGGCTCTGTTAACTGATTTATTTCCTGTCTCTACCCCCCTCCAGCCTGATGTAATTTAATTTGGGATAGGACATCAGAATTTTCCTCTTGTCAGTTGGATACCTTAATTTTGGCCTGTCTATCCCCTTAGAACTAAAGAAATGACTAGTTGAGGTCTATTTTAGATAACCAATTTAAAGTGGTTTTTTGTTATTGAATGCCTTGCCTTAAAAGCACTTAAAGCACATTTTTGTTATATTTGATCAGTTAAAATTGCTGATTTTTATCCCTTTAACCAACCTTAGAAATAAACAGTGAATGACTGTCATGTACTCTTTAAGTACCCTTGGTTGATGAGATATTTTAGGGCTTTGGAAATAAGTAAGGACTTTTTTAACATGGTATATTATATTATCTGTAAAGGAAGAAGGTTGTATTGTCAAGAAATCTCACTCTTCCCAAATTTTATCTAAATAGAAAGTAATTGTTTCTCACCTAGTACCATGCCTAAATTGCTAGGCAATTGTATGCATCTTGCTGTCTCATGTGCCCATCTATAATAATAAAAGGGTAATATGCTAATTAGACCGGACATCCTTCCAGACATCATTATGGACAAAGCAGGGGCCAGAGTGAAGCCCAGGTCCCAGGTGCCTGCCATCGGCCGGAGGGAAGCTGCCTGGGTCTCGGGTGCCTGCCAGTGGCTGGAGGAGGGAAACCCAGGTCCTGGGTGCCTGCTGGCGGCTGGAGGGAAGCCGGTGCCGGCAGCCAGGGGAAGGAAGGCCTACTCTTGCATGAATTTTCATGCATTGGGCCTCTAGTCATATATATAAAAGCCTAAGTGATCATTACGACTGGTCGACCGATCGGCCGGTGATGCAGACCACCAGGGGGCAGACGCTCAATGCAGGAGCTGCCTCCAGGGGTCAGTGTGCTCCCACCGCCAACATCCTGCGGCCAGCCAACCTCTCGTGGTCCCTTCCCCACCCCGGACTGGACTAGACAGCCCTGATCGGCCCCAGTTGCCAGCCAGGCCAAGGAACCCCACCCGTGCACGAATTCGTTTATTTATAATGGGCTGATTTAGACAGGCATTTTTACATTAGAAAAGCAGCACATTCTGTCCCTGGCTGCCCAGGGTGCCAAGTTACTATACAAATGTGTTCATTTGAGAATTTAAAATTCAGCTATGTTAATATCTGAAATTCGATCAGTGTAAGCTGACATGTTGCTTATTTTGTAAAAGAAGTTTGCCTCTGAAACATCTTTACAGCCAGTGGGTCTGGGATGCTCAAAGTGTTTTCAGTCTGATGCCATGCATTCATTTTTCCACAATGTAGAGTTGCGCAAAGCTAGCTTTTGTGCCTGTGGCTCTTTTTGTGGACTATGTAATTTAACAGTATCTGTTCTGCCTAACGGTTCTTAGGTTGGTACACAAGGGTCATTGAAGGTTGTGTGGCTAGGAACAAGTTTTTTCTTATAAAGGTGACTTGTTCACTCTGATCCATCAGTCTCAAAAGTAAATTCTGAAGACTAATTTCTCTTCAAAGTTTTCTCACTTAAACCTGTTCAGTTGTTGGTTTAATTTGATTTGCCTATTGTTAATGAGTACGTTATTATTTTCAAGCAGTTTCACTAGGTTTGAAAAACTTCACATGTACTCATTTTGTTGTCAATAATGGGGTTTCATTTTCTGAATCCCCCAAGAACTATTGAATGAGATGTTTGCTGATAGAAAATCCAAAACAGGAATATGTGTATACGGCATGAATTCAATTAGTCATTGAATTTCAGCTCAGTATCTATTACAAGGAATTAATAAAATTTGTGTATTCACAACATAAATCCAAGGCTCTAATATGTCTTGTTAATGTGAATCAGAAATAACTTTCAGTCCCTGGGAAATGTGGGAAATCAGGTCTCCTACTATAACTTACTCTGAGTAACTTCAGATACCATCAAGGAGTATGGTCTCAGGGATCAGATTGTCCGCATTCCAATCTCGGCTCCACCACTTTCTTCCCTACAACATGCTGGTGATAGTACCTATCATAGGGTATGAGGTTTAAGGTGTGGGTGATGGGAAGGGCTAAAAAGAACAGATGATATGGAAGAGCATCCTAATAGAGGTATATGTTTTGGGTATTAGGGAGAATGGTGAAGGCCAATCTAGGTGCATAAACTTCAACATGTGCTTAAGCACTGCATGCCTCCCGTTTACAGAACTCGGGTTGTTCACTCTAATTCATACTTTGGGATTTTTTGTTTAACCTCTTACATCACCTCCACAAAAACCAGAGTAAGTAGTTGCAATTATATGGAAGGGGGATTAACCATAAAAATCTAATTAAACTACTTTAATATTGCTGCTCTTCTCCAACCCCCTCCCATCTCCACTGATTTCCTGCACCTTCCACCTGAAAAAAATGGAAGCCTTGCATGGCTTTAATAATACAGAACTAGGGTAGAAAAGCTACTTCCTCCAAAATGCATTTGAAACCCAAATTGAAATGTTTTGAAATCACATTAAAAGATTTGTCTTCATCTTGTGTTGATAACACCAATAAGGTGTTATCGTTGGCTTATAATAACATGAGTTTTATTTGGAAATGTTATAAAGTCAGTAATTCCAGTTAACCAGACGTAGTAATTCCATTTAGTGATTCATCCTACTCCATTGTTTCTTCCCTCATTGGTCATCTTCTGTTTTCAATATCATTTTTTAAAATTGTGCAGTTTTGTTTTAACTACTATATGGACCGGCAACATCACCTCTCAAAGCAATGGAGGACCTCACTAGTTAGGTTTTTTATCATTTTGCCATGAAATTAAGAGGCTTATTTAAACCTTATAAATGTCCAGACATATACCTAAACTCAGTATTTTTAGTCTTTGAAGATATAACCTGTAGTAGCAACTGCTTTCGGGATGACTTCAGCCGTGGTTTTTCACAAGTTTGGCAGCCATGGCAATAGGACAGTATAATAGAGCTTTTGCTCTGAGTGTTTGCTGTTCCCGCCTCACACTGATGCCATTCACAAAGACTTAACTTTGTTGAGAACCAGTGAAGATGTAGACTACCAACACTGGGTGCTTTCAAGTTCACATACCAGCTGGAAAGCCTTTTTAAATGCAAGTTTCTACATTATGTAGCTGCTTTGAATTAACACAAGTGCAGCAAGTATGATGAATAAAGACAAACCAGTAGGTGATGGAGGCTTATGGCTGCTCATCGAGCTGATTGAGTGGGTTTTTCATCTCAGAACAACTCATTACACTGGAAGTCCCAGGGCTGGTGTAGTGGTCATGCAGGAGGATCGATAGAGCCGTTGAGTGGAATACAGCATGTTCCCAGTCCCATACTCTTGAGATCACTCTTTCCCACTATGGCAACTCCTAATTCAGCCACTGAGAAATGGCCACAAAGGCCATAGAACTGGAACTGCTTTTAGAAGTTTACTTGGGGAGTTATATTTCCTTTGGTTGAGCTTGGGGCCCAGAGCATACAGGAAGATTCACCCCGTAATGAAATGCACCTCTGAATGTGAAAATGGGCATTGTGCTTGGTAAAAAGGGGAGGTGGTCGGAGGGGAAGGCAATACTGCCAAGTGAAAAGCTTTTCACACCATTAATGTAATCAAAACCACTAACAGGACTGGTGGATTTATCCCAGTGAAGTTTTGTTTGAGTAAAATTTAACGATGTGACTGATTTTATTTTTAAGCCATGCATCTGG